TGAAAATAAATTGAAATAAAAAAATAAAAGCAGTATATATATTTTATGTGCTCATACATGTATTATGCTCCGGGTAACTATGACAACAACAAAATGTACAGTTTTTCTAATTGATTGTTTATTAGTGGTTTGCATAAAGTATAAGAATTCATTGATATTACATTGGACCTGAGTTAGGAGTGTAAAAAGTTGTTTAAGTATAAAAAACATCCTTGGTTATCAACATCAATTTACTCTGCTATGAATATGACTTTGAGTTAGAATAATTTTGCTTGTTCAATTTTACGTTAAGTCACAACCTATTGTTTTTTACTTTTATGCTATTGTGCTCAATTTAAGAATATACTATAAGTTTATCAGCTCTGAGAAAACAAAGTAAGTGAGGTTAGCTCAGACAAAAAAAAACTCATCAGAATTTTCGTGAAAGCAAAATTTTTATTTGTTCCCCAAAAGCTCAAACATCTTTACTCATGTTGAATAAACAATGTGCAAAATGTAGAAAATTAAAGGAAAATATTGCAAACATTGGTGTAGACAATCACTGTCAGTGAACAATGCTTATAAATACAGTTGGGGAGAGTGTCAGAATATCTCAGCATCGTCAACAACAACAACAAAAAAAAAAAAAAAAAAAAACGTTCCAAAATAATAACAGCCATTAACACTGTAATACATTGGAAATGATTATACTTATGTTACTGGGGGTAACCAAATATAGAGCAATGAAATAAACAAAACAAAATCCTAATAAAAAAAAGATGATTGTTAAATACAATTATTATAGAAATTGACTATTAGTTGTCTAAGTGAGCTTTCAGAACATATGCTGCATTTGATCGCTTCTTTGTTCTTTTCAGGTTCTAATCTCGTACATTTTGTGTTTTTATTACAGAGACCATTGCCATCAAATTGTGATTGTTCTCCTCATTTAAGAAGACTAGAGAACCAATTAGAAGCAACTAAAGAAAAATTCCTCTATGAGATTGACTCTGCCAAACAGATGATGGAGGATAAAATGGCATATTTTGATAAAAAAATGGCTCACCAATCAGGTTGTTTAGACCAGTTATGTCGAGAGAGAATGGCTGCCGAGAGAACAGAATGTCTGCATAGAATTGATCGACGTGCACAAAAAGAACAAGCAGAATTTGAACGTCGAAGTACAGTTAGAATTAATGCGCTCAGGCGTGAACTTAAACACTGGTTTGAAGAAAGATTTAAACATTTTGAGAACAAATACGGAGTTGATGTTGGTCCGTTCAATGATTTGGATGGACCAATCAATGATAGGACCAGTGACCCAGGTCAGGATGACCTTGAGGAGTTTGACGAACCAGGTGCAAGTTTACTACGTTCCAAGTCTGAGGGTGTGCTGTCTGTACCGGATCCAATAACTGCCACTAGAACATTACAAGAAGTGCGCTATGCAAAGGCTAAACCTATTGAAAACATTGCACAAACTCTTGTGTTGGAAGAGGATAGTACTGCCAGTGATGAAAAAGATCATCGTCCGGAAAAACCTGAAAAACCACCCAAACCCCCGAAACCTCTTCCACCTCCAAGGACTGTTGGTGTCTCTATCACACCCGAAACAGGAGCTATTCCTAAAAGAAATGAGGGCAATCCCCGTTCTCCAACACTTAGAGAAGCGGGAGATCCAGTATCACATGCCTATCACTATGGAAACGCTGCAAGCCAACAATCCCCAGGAATGTTGACATCCAATACACCGAATCAGTCTGGGAACACCGGAACTCCACAGTCTTTATATTCCAGGAGTCAGGGGGTGTACCAGACTGGGAATGTGGGAACATCAACATCATGGAAACCAGGAAATAGTGTTTCACCTGGAATACATGGACCAAGAAATCAAACCAGCTATCCACCTGCAAATGCAGGAACATCTCACACTTGGAAAACGGGAAATTATCCCTCACAACCCAGAAATCCATCCCAATTGCAGAGAACTCCACCACAACCCAGAAATCCATCCCAATTGCAGGGAACCCCACCACAACCCAGAAATCCATCCCAATACCAGGGAACCCCACCACAACCCAGAAATCTATCCCAATACAAGGGAGATGCAAGAACTAATGCTCCACCACCATATGGTAACCCCAGATCAAGTCAGCCTCCACCATACGGTAGTCATGGTCACCCATCACCGGTAATGAGTACATTCCAACCATTGAATAAAAGCAGCAATATGCAAAGTTCACCGAGAGCCAATATTAGCCCAATAACTGTAAATATGTCACTCGCAAATCGATCACCACCATCTCGTGACTCGCCCGTAATGTCGAGTCCAGGCTCATCAAATTCACCATTCCCTATCAACGGCCTACGTACACCAAATAACCGTGATAGTATTGGCTCAACAAGTTCGAGTTCCAGATCACGCCGTGAGCCGATTGATTCCTCACTGGCAATGGCACTTCTAGATGAAAGTGCTCCCTCTACAGGTGCTCCAAGTCCAATCCCTTTGCAACCGGATGCAGCTGACAGGAGAGCACGGCCGGTGTCAACGGTCGAAGTAAGACCAACACAGAATAATTCCTTGTATACTGCCAGTGGGAAACCACGTCCTAACAGTGAACATATAGCGCATAGTCCTGGTGAGCAAGTCACTCCTAAAAGTCCTGCTGAAAAACAAAATGGCGGTCCTCATTGTAAGTCTTCTCATTCACATCATTACAGCACAGATAGCAGCGATAGTTTTGACCCAGTTTCAGTCACTCAGCATTTCTTTGATACAGTTTCAACTCAGATGGAAAAATGGTATGAAAGACGTATACAAGACGTACAAAAACAAGCCGAACAGAAAGTAGCGAGTGAAACAAACACCATTGAAACTAAATTAAGCGAATTAGAAAGTCAGTTGAAGGAATTGAAACATAAGGAGGATAAAAAAGAAAATGAAAATAATGACAATCAGGCAGTTTAAAGTCATTTAAGAGTCCTTGTAACAAATTTTCTTCTCGAAACCCATTGACTCATAGTTGCTACAAATGAAGACTGCATGTTATTCTTTTCAGATTTATAATCTCAGACACTGAGGGCGCCCTTCATTGACCAAGGTGAGGATCTTTGTGAGCTAATTGTAGGTTTGAAAAATTAGTGCATGACATGACAGTTGCTTGGAACTTTAGATGCAAAGCCTCACTTTGACATTGCAGAATTAGGGCGCCCTCAACTGTTGCTTAGTTACCTTCTAGCATGCTACTTATACACTCATATCCACAGAATGGCAAGATGTCTTCAACATAAAACCTAGAAAAAAAAAAATATAGTTTCATATGTGCCTCTTGAAAATATGGACAAGACAGCTTTGTTTTAGTTTTCTTCTGTCAAGATTTTACATTAAAATTTATTTTTCATGAAAATTGAAAGCACTATTTAATGATGGTTTTAAAATAAATATAAACAGTCACTTGTGCATAGATTTTGGCAAACAAATTGACCAGAAATTTATTTCATTCATTTTTTCTAGGTTTTCTTGGTAAATTACATTTGATGTTGGGGCCAAATAATTTGATTGTAATCTTGCAGTTCAGAAAAGTATCATTTGTGAGATATTCTGATAGTCAAATATATTTGCATCTTGCCATTGTAACAGTAACTTTTTTAAGCATTTACTAAAACTTCATTAAATAACTTGGTATTGGAATGTCTGTCTTATCTCTGTATTTCCCATAGTTTACATTTTCTGTAACATTCTTCTGGGTGGTGACTATTGCACTGTCACACACATGGACTTCTCCCACATAATATGGTATTTCTAGGCATTGTAAGAATACAGAGAAACTTTTATGATATCAAAGTATATTTTAAAAAGTACAAAAAATGTAAAAGAAGACTATTAACTGTTTATTTAATCCTTTGACTTCCATTATACAATTTCACATTTTTGTATTATTTTGGATATAATTTTATGTTAACATGTATTGATCAAAAGTTTTTGGAAAATTATGTAAATATCATTTTGTGAATTATGACATTTGCTGCTCAAAGGGTTAAGATAACGTTTTACCAAATGTATTTTTATATTCGATTTCAGTTTTTAAAAAATTGAAATGTTTTTAAATGCAAGGCCAGGTTTGTTCAGTGCAAACATGTCATGTCTGAATTATTGAGTATTTCTAAAAATTTTCCTGTTTGTTATTTTTTTTTAAATGTTTAGATTTGCCATGATGTGGATTATTTTGGATGAATATACTGGGGTAGATAGATGGACGGTTTTGCATGAAATGCACAAACTTTGGGTTTCAAAGGTTATACGCATCTACCTGTCTTGACAGCAATTAGCTCGTTACTTGACCTCATGAACGCTGAAGGTCACGCATCCTGGTTTTTTTAAGTGAAGAATTTAAAAATATTCTAACCAATCACCAATCATGTGTTATGTAAGTGGCTAATTGCATGTAGGGAAAAAAAGTTACGAGTTCTGTCATGTTTTGTAATAACCTCCATTACTAACTATTAATAACCTGGTGAAACCTGTCTAAACCAAATGTCAAATGGAATTGAACACCTGAAAGGGTTTGATCTCTACCCTGGGCAAGAGGGGTGACTCGATGGGGAGGTCAATACCATAGGCAAAGATTTATTCATGGACGTGACTTTGGGTGACTTTGATTAAAATCTGCAACTGCCTTCATTTAACCATACCTGGTTGATTCCAAGAGCATTTAATTGCTGATAAAATTATTTGGTTTGGTGGTATTTAGTGTTTAGTTTAGACAGGATTCCAGTTTACACCAAGTTTGGTTGAGACAGGTTTATACAATATTTTGTTATTCCTCCCCTTTGATGTCAAAGCTGACAGAACTAATCCACTCATGTTGAATTTATTGACAGATGCAGTTCTTTGATGTGAATGGTGTGATCTCACTACCCAATACATGTGGAAAGCAAGTTTTCAAACACTTTTGCTGGGAAATTTATGCAGTACAATCACACACCATTTGATAATGCTATATAAAATCACTCTTTTGCGAAAACTAACGAAACTAAGTACATATAGAGCTGACAGTATCAAATGAATAAATGCAAGATGGTCTGGTCTGATTGGTAGAGCAAAATAACACCAAATAATTTGTTACTGTACAAGACAACTATGTCAGTGCCAGTGTTCCTTCCAAGCAAATTGGTACTGAGCAACTTTACTATTTTTTTCAGGGAAGTCAAATTAAATATTAATTTTGTTAATTTTATGCAAGATATTAAATGTAAAGTTGCAATGCAATTATGTTTGACAGTGAGGTCACTGAGCAGGTGTGTGTAAATGAGGCTTAGAGGTGTGCACATGACTTTGCTTACAAGTCTTATTGTTTTTTCAAGAATTAAAAGCAAAATTAAAATCAGCGACAGGTCCGCTGCCCGGCTGGTTGGATCCACAGAGAATGTCAAGTGCATTTGATCATGCATCATTTTTCATCCGACTGGTATGCAAATTAAAGCTTGTGAATACTTAAACTTTGCAATCATTCACCATTTTTGCAAACACTACTAATTCGTATTTTAGCCATTTTTATCTATTTTTTTATTTGAAAAATGATAAAACTTGTAAGTC